GAAGGTGAAGGTGGCGGAGCTCTCACTGCCTTTGCTCAAATTTCATCTCTCCTTAAATTATATGATTTGCACATTTTGCACAGTGGAACTCTGAGTCCCTGCATGCAGTGCGGCATTAATAAATCATGTGAATTACTGGGTTATTTGCAGTGGTGTTGTGCCTGTTGCCTCTTTGAGTTATGTGGTGTTGACTTAGGTCTGTTTCACACATGCTGCATCTGCGACACGAATCTGCAGACCATATTAACAGGTTACATCGTTCACACGGCCGGCGTAAGCAGCTAGAAGTGGAACTGACAATAGAGTTTTGGCGCCGAGTTCACGTGTCATGCTCAGTTTGGGGACTTTTAGAAAACACACTCTCTTAAAACAAACATTTCACATGCTGTCTAGTTCAATTTGTGCACTAACAGCTTCCAACAGTTGAGGTCATGGGTTTACATAAACTACACCATGCAAAATCTGCTATAAGTTAATAATTTCAACAATTTTTAAAGGGGTTAAAAAATGTCACTTATTTATTTAGTACTGCTTTAAATTTCACACAAGAGATGTTTACATAGTAAAAAAAAATAATAATAAACCAAAATAATAGCTGAATTTACCAAAAATAATAGCTGACTTTTATGAAAAATATATGGACTGTATATATGAACTATGTGTTCAAGTGAGCCAACAAAGGTGATTTTATTTATTTATCTTTCTTTTATCTTATCTAATTACAAAAAAATGTTAAAGCAACATTAATTATATGGCCACCATGTTGTGCATCCTAAATAAATCAAATCATTATTAGTATTATTAAATTTCCTTTGTTTTTATTTTCACATCATAGCTCATATTTATAGTTTTTCTTCTAGCTATTCACTGACACTTTTTGTCCTTGGTAAACAAATCCACTAATTAAACTCATTTATTTCGGACAAAAAATGTTTGATATGGTAGAAATGGCGCCACAACTGTGGGAGTCATAATAATTTTATGAATGTTACAAAAAATGTCACTCTTTGTTTTGATCATAGTTTAAAAAACTTAATTCATATTTTTAAAATTAACTCATATTTTAAAGCTGAAACAATAAATCTATAAGGCATTTAAAAAGAAGTAAAAAATAATGAGGGCACGATAAAAAGTTTTAATGTTTAAAGAAAACACTGAAACGTGTTAGTTTTACTAAAGAAAATCAACCCCTATGACACAAAAGTCCCCAAAGAAACACCCATCTCTGTGATGCACCATAAACACTATCAGTGTGAAAGCTCACGCCACACAGTATGTGCGAAACTGGCCTTGAAGTGCATCTCGGTCTGTGATACTATCATTGTGGTTTGTATTTTGGATGGCAAGGACCCTGCATGCCAGATCCAACATTGTGCAATGGATGATTTATATTGCTTCCTCAGCTTGTTAAATTACTGAGCTAGGCAAAGGTTTTAAGAAACAGAATATGCCACTACAGATCCAGCGCATGGCTCATCTGTTATTGTTCACCATACAAATGAGAGTTAATTTGACATAAAATGGTTATATCCATATGTTTTTGTACTTTTAGTTTTCACATTTACATAGTGCATAGACTGTTAACATTTAATGCTCTTGTTTTTATTTGCAACATTTGCATATTTAACCATTCAAAACAGCACTCTGGGTTCTGCTTCTGCCACGGTGTGATTCTACTTGTGAAAACCGTGAGCCACAATATATGTTTGTCTTCTTTTATTGCAACATTCAGAATGGAAATACAACTGCACCTATGTAATTACATGGTAATAACACAGTAATAACTATTAAAGAATAGCAGAGTCCACACCACAGCTATAACGATAAAGGCACAGAGAAACGATATCGTTGGAATCATTTTCAGAACAATTTTTTCCAGCTGATGAACTATACAAACATTGACAGCCAATCAGAATCCATCCTGCTATAACAAGCTCGAGAATTTAAAGTGGCAGACGCGTGTGTGCTTAGAATAAACAGACGATATCATTCGCTGGTATGGACGCTAATATCGTTATCTTTATAGTTATTGTTCTTGGTGTAAACGGGGCTTAAATCTGAACTCTTGCAATCCTTAAATATGCTTTGATTTCATCTGTCCTATGTGGTACTTACTGGTTTAATTTAGGGTGACCATACGTGCCATTTTCCCAGTACTCATATTTTAATACTGTGTAAGTATTGCACAGATATTACTATGTAATTATCATGTAATTACATAGGTGCAGTTGTGTTTCCAGATTCTGAATGTTACAAGAAAAGCAGACTTACAGAGATTTACTGTGTGTGCTAGGGATCATGGTGTCACAAGGAGAATCAGACTGTGGCAGAAGCAAAAAGCCGGAGTGTCGCTTCAAATTGCTAAAGTTGCAAATGATGCAAATAAAAACAGTGTCTAAGAGCATTACATTTTAACAACAGTCTATACACTATACAAATTTGAGAATTAAAGTACAAAAGCAAATGGAAGTAACCATTTTTACATTGGTTGCCACAAGGAGAATCACAACATGACAGAAGTGAAAAGCCAGAGTGTTGTTTCAAATTGTTAAAGTTGTAAATTGTGCAAATAAACCAGTGTCAAAGAGCGTTTTTACAACAGCCTACACATTTTGGGAATAAAAAACACATTGTTACTTCTGTATGATTTAGATAAATAATTCAGAACAATAGTTATAATTAAACTAGGGTGACCATACGTGCCATTTTCCCAGGACGCGTCTTGGCCAGGATTTCTATATTGCTTTGATTCAAAGTACCTCGACAGCGTTTCGAAAACACAAGGAACCGATGTCATACACCGATCGGTCTGCACACGCAAACAAAGCCAAACCCTAGATATTTAGGCAATATAGAAATCCTGGCCAGGACGCGTCCCGGAAAAATGGCACGTATGGTCACCCTAGTTTAATTATAACTATTGTTCTGAATTATTTATCTAAATCATACAGAAGTAACAATGTGTTTTTTATTCCCAAAATGTGTAGACTGTTGTAAAAACGCTCTTTGACACTGGTTTATTTGCACAATTTACAACTTTAACAATTTGAAACAACACTCTGGCTTTTCACTTCTGCCATGTTGTGATTCTCCTTGTGGCAACCAATGTAAAAATGGTTACTTCCATTTGCTTTTGTACTTTAATTCTCAAATTTGTATAGTGTATAGACTGTTGTTAAAATGTAATGCTCTTAGACACTGTTTTTATTTGCATAATTTGCAACTTTAGCAATTTGAAGCGACACTCCGGCTTTTTGCTTCTGCCACAGTCTGATTCTCCTTGTGACACCATGATCCCTAGCACACACAGTAAATCTCTGTAAGTCTGCTTTTCTTGTAACATTCAGAATCTGGAAACACAACTACACCTATGTAATTACATGATAATTACATAGTAATATCTGTGTAATACATACACAGTATTACACACTTGAAAACTAGACAAACTAAGGCATTATTTAAACATAAAACTACAGAAAATAAAATTAGCTTAATAAATAGATTTACATATAACATTGTGATTGCAACTTGTATAATATATGCTAAACAAACTGAAAGAGATAGAGATGCTTTATCTCAGTCACCTGTTGAAGCGTCAGTCATCTACTGATGAGTAAAGACCTTCAATGATTATCAACTTTTGTATTAGAAATCAAAGCCCTATCAAGTCAGATTCTCTGATTCTCCTTGTGACACCATGATCCCTAGCACACACAGTAAATCTCTGTAAGTCTGCGTTTCTTGTAACATTCAGAATCTGGAAACACAACTGCACCTATGTAATTACATGATAATTACATAGTAATATCTGTGTAATACCACCATTACAAAAGTGCAATAGAATCAGACACAACTAAGTGAAGACTCCAAAAATAATTTACATTAACTTGAATGGAATTAATATTAACTCCCAAGCAAGCTTTTCATAAACATTGGCGAAAGACCCAGGGTATGTATGTGTCTTAGTACACAGATAAAAAAAAAATATATATATATCTTGATTTATAGAAGATGCTTTATATTGTTGCTACTAGTTACACATGCAGTCAGTGCATAAAGCTCACATCTTTTGCATTGCACACAATACAAGGCAATCACTTTCTTATCATTGTACCTAAGAGAATTAAACTCTATACCATAAATCTCGCCAAAACGGTGCACTTACACAAACTGTTCACATTAATGTCACAAACAGATGAAGATTGGCTTTGTTTTGGGCTAAGAGACCTCTAGAGTCCTTTTCCACAGCACTTTTTCCCTGAGCTAGACAAATGCAACAGAACTTCCATTTATAGCAGTATTCCCATGATAACCACATGAACGCTACAGTCTAGAGTACAAAACAAGCAACAGTCTAAATCACTCTGGCATTAAATACTGCCATTGTGTTTTCGAACCTCTATGGCGTTTAAAAGCCACAACCAAAGATTCATATGAATCGTGCAAAAACAATCTGCACCTCAGTAGCTTCACTGAAGTTTTAAATCCTGTACATACAAATAAAAGGGGTGGTTCACTCAAAAATGAGCATTCGGTTACACTTTATTTTAAGGTGTCCTTGTTACAGTGTAATTATTCTGAGTAATTATAAGTACTGAGTAATATTAATTAACTACATACTATATGGTTAGGGTTAGGATAAGAATTTGGCATGGATTACTTGCATGTAATTATGCATAAGTAAGTGTTATTATAATAGTAAGTATATGTAACATGTGTAACAAGGACACCTTAAAATAAAGTGTTACCGAAAATTCTGTCATCATTTATTCATCATCATGTCATCCCAAACCAATATGACTTTCTTTCTTCTGTGGACCAAAATAGATGATATTTTGAGGACTCTTTTGTCCAGTCCCTCATTGTAAGGACAAAAAAGAGGAAGAAATAAGATCATAAGGTTTGGAACAACATGAAGATATAATTTCCATGTTTGGGTGAACTTTTCCTTTTAGATGAGCTACACCAGCATGATAAAGAAAGGAAACCGTAGGACTTACTTTGTGTATTCTTCATTGTCTCTGTCGCACCTTGCATCCTTATGTTTCTCCCAGTCTTTCCCGTGTTTGCAGGTAGTCAATAAAATGATATCATCCCCATTATGTATATGATATAACGCATTTCTGGTTTCAGAACCGATGCCAGTTAGATACCTCTTCCCTTTGAAGACCAGCAAGTATTTCCGTAAGGGAGGGACATTGTTAAGATTCAGATAACCTTTGCTCCCTCCTTTCTGAGGATGGTCTTTTGAAAACAAAGGGATGGACACATCAAAGCGTGGTCTAAAGTTGTCCATGTCGGTGCTGGCCTTGGCCAGCATGGCTTGGCCGATATCGAAGCCTAGTTCCTCCGTATAATCAGGCCACGTTCCAGAATACAAGTTAAAAATCAGATGGTTCCTCCCTTCGTACCACAGAGGGAGGCTTTGAATTCGGGCTCGGACGTTATGTACATACTGAGAGGACAGCTGGTCCCTGTCTAGAGTGTCTATACTCAATACAAACAGACAGGCCTCATTAGGGTCCGTCGTGTAGAACCGCGATTCCTCGATGGCTGCCAGAATCTTCTGGTAGCTTTCCGAGGGCACTTCACCTTTCTGAGGCGGATACACATAGATTTTAAACCCCCGTTCGCAGCGTTGGAAATCGAAGCAGGTCTCCATGCGACATCGCCGGCTCTTGTAGATGTTCCTCTTTATTTCTCGTCTCTCGCGAGGAGACGTGTGTTGATGAAGAAGCAGGGGTCCGTCCTCTTCCTGCTCGGCCTCACCAAGGTACGTCTGCAGGGGAGGATCCACCCATTCCGGCCAGCGGGGCGGCCGAGGTGGGACACCGGCGATCTGTGAGACTCTGTAAAGCTCGGCATGGTTCTGGTTGTGGAACTCACCGATTTGTAGGCCACACAGGTAGGCTAGTAGCAGGCTACAGGCCCCCACAGATACCAGCAGGTATCGCTTCTTCGCCTGCATGTGGACAGTGAGAAGCAGGGCAGGAAAAGAAGGAAGCACGGAGGGTCGACTGTAAACCCAGGGGACCAGCTCTCATACCACTAGGAGCATTCTGATATTGCACGGACCACTGTAAGCGCAGAGATACAGAGAGGGTCATGTTAGCTTTACACACCAGAATGAAAATGACAGAATCTAGTATTGTAACTCCATCTGAATACAGTCTTTATTACTAATAATTTACAATAAGGCCACATTCTGGGATTCAACATCTAATTTGAACCTAGAAAAAATGTAAAACATATAAAGTAAAATGATGTCAAATGTAGGCTACTGGATAACAGAGTTTTAGACCCCACTGTAGGCTACTTGATTAAGAATTACTATTTCTTTAAAAAGGTAGACTTATTATCATTATGATCACCAGTGTGGAGAAAAAAAAAATCAGTACGACTTCCAGGGAGGTCTACTTTTTCTAAGTAAATCTTGTGGCGCCATCAGCGATTCGTCTCGCGCCATGTATTTGTGTTGTGTGTAAATCTATAATAAAGTGATAAGTAATGACAGTAGGCTACTTATATTTTGTCAACATTACCGCATGATACCGATCCTTAAAGAAAGTGCTCTGTTGCTATAGTAACCACCTCAGGTGAAAGTCTTCGCAACTTTGTCTATTTAACTCATTTCACTTTTGTCATTACTAAAACTTTTGAAAGCACAAATAAAATGTATATACACTTATACTGTATATACTTTCAATTATTCAGATATACTTCTGTATATGTGTTATGAATGATATCTTTATTTCAGACTCTAAAAGGTCCATATAAAATAAAAAAGCATACAAAAACAACATACAACATGGATGTTGAAAACATGGATGTTACTGTTACTGCTATGGGCTATGGCTTAAAAAAAACTTAAGACAGTTTTAACCTCATCTAAAACGTGGTAAAAACTGACTACATACAAAATTGACATGCTTTCTAAAAAATTATATTAAAAAAGAGAAACTTCTGTTTATGCCGTGAGGCTGTTTCAATGTTAGATTTTTACTCTCTTCACCTCACTTGAAAACTAGACAAACTAAGGCATTGTTTAAACATAAAACTACAGAAAATAAAATTAGCTTAATAAATAGATTTACATATAACATTGTGATTGCAACTTGTATAATATATGCTAAACAAACTGAAAGAGATAGAGATGCTTTACCTCAGTCACCTGTTGAAGTGTCAATCATCTACTGATGAGTAAAGACCTTCAATGATTCTCAACTTTATATTATAAATCAAAGCCCTATCAAGTCAGCGCATTATTAGGAGTTGTGTAGAAGTATTTGCCAACCATTTCTGTATTCATAAAGCAAATGTTTTAGTACTGTACGTCAGAATAATAATGTGATTAAAAGGGGATCTGACAGAAAACACACGCTGCTCTGATTACCCTGATAAAGCAACGTGATGTTCGTTATCTGTTTCTATCTTTACATGCTTGATCTAAATATCTTCATATTTCCATATGTCTTGGCGACCAATGCGCAACTTCAGAAAATCCACTGAGTCTTCTTCAAATTGCATTCCGTCCACAAGTCTTGACACATCACAATCAGCCTATAATATGCACCAAGTATCTCCAGAATCAAGAAAGAGATCCTTCTATAAACGTGAGGATTGTCAGCCCCTATCTCTCTGGATAAATGTGCAGGTTTTAGAGCAAAATCCATCCCAGAGTTCCTGAGACATCCTGAGTGCTCAAGTCGCGTTTACAACTCTCCAAAACCAACACGAAACTTCTCATCACGCCACTTGTGGTCTCACAATATATATATATATATATATATATATATATATATATATATATATATATATATATATATATATATATAAAATGATGTTATTATGAAAGAGCTTTCATTCATGGAATTGTGTATCATTTTAAGAAAGGAGAGTTATAGGGTTGATGCATAACTTGGGAACACAACGTCTTTTTTTAATGAAGTATTACGCTATATGTCCGGTCCATCAATCTCATTCATAACACACTATTAGATGATGGGCAGTGCTGGTCGCCATTTAGTCACAATTTAATCAACTGATTGCAGTAATTCTGAGATATTGCTGAGTCAACGAAAACATCATTCCATCTTATTCATAATCAATACTGTTAGTCATAAAAAGTAAATTATTACTTTTTCAGCAGTTATATTAAGTAAGGAACTTACACAAGCAAAGGGATGTGTGTGTGTGTGTGTGTGTGTGTGTGTGTGTGTGTGTGTGTGTGTGTGTGTGTGTGTGTGTGTGTGTGTGTGTGAGAGAGAGAGAGAGAGAGAGAGAGAGAGCGAGAGAGAGAGGGGGAATTCTGTGTGAAATGCAATTTGACTAGACAAGAATGACTTGACCGGGGCATAGGTATTACAACGAGAAGGTGATTTATGAGGACATTTTCAGTGTCCCCGTAATTCAAAAGGCTTATAAATAATTCAGAATTTGTTTTTTTTTTTATCTAAATATGCAGAAAGTTTCCTCTGAGGGGTAGGTTTAGGGGTAGGGTGAGAGAGAGAGAGAGAGAGAGAGAGAGCGAGAGAGAGAGGGGGAATTCTGTGTGAAATGCAATTTGACTAGACAAGAATGACTTGACCGGGGTTACCATCTTCTTTCATCCAGAAACCATTGAGCTCTCACTGAGGTAGGTGTATTGTGAAATAAATGCTGCCATCTAGTGATGGATGTTGATGAGATAAAGGCCTGCATTGTGACTTCCGGTCAAATATTGCATTTCTAACAGAGAACACAAATATATTGCACTCAGTTAAATGGATGAACAAAGTCATGAGTGTTTTATACGGTACACACACACAATGCCTTGTGGAATTATTTATTGTACAGGGTTTGATAATATGCATTGTTTTGATATGCCACCATAACTGGGCCCTTTAAACGTTCAAACATTGTACTTCATAGCGGAAAGTATAAACGCAGTGAACAAACAGTATTGTTAACCCTTGCTCCCCTGATGTGATTTATAGAGCCGCAGCACGGTTGTACTGAATTCTGTATGGAATATTTCAGAGAGGTTTTGACCTGTCTGGATCACAGGCATGCCCTTGGGCTAGTAGCAGTTGCCTAAAGCACAATGTGGTAGATTTAAGCTCAGCTCTGTCGTTCCTCTAAACATGAGCGCAGAAAAAGCTATAAACAACCGCAAGCACACTTACAGGTAAACTGCTTCAGATGACATATTTCTGTTTAACTATAGATTATTCTGATCAACAGCACATTGGTTTATTCAAATAAAGTTCCATTTGTTAACATTAGTTCATGCATTATAGGTATTATTATCCAGCAGCTAACAAAACGTTTTACTGCATTCATCAATGACAGTTAATATTACAGTACATTTCAGTGTTATGAACAGTATTATAAACAAACATGAATATATGAATAAATAGAAATAGCGCATTTTATCAGACAGAGATAATCACACCTGTTTAAAATGTTAGTTCATAAAAGATATTGTATATAGATAGAAAATAAAAGCCATTTCCATTTGATACTGATGACTGTGATTTCTCTTATATTTACTGAAGACATCAGCTCTAGAAGGCTAGGTTATTATATTACAGATGCTTCATTTTTATTGGCAGATTCTGACAGAAGCTATAGCCTCAAGCAGCACTGCTGTTTGGCATCACCTGCTCTTCAGATTTTTGTTTGAGATGCCAGTTAAAACTTTAAGGTAATTAATTACAATGATAAAATTATAAACCCCTACAAGTTGTTTCAAGCCCACATTGTTCATAACATTTTACAAAATAGTAATGAACTCTTGAACTGGAATTGATCCAGTGTTTCCTTTTAGAGAACAAAATAATTGTGTAAGATACCTGTCCTGAACTCTGAATGTTGAATCTGCTCTTGCTGTTTTGTAGCTTTGTCTTCCCTGAAGATGATCATACGCAAACTAACCGAAAACATTCACAAAAGCAGTGTATATGACACAGAAATACTTCATATTAATGTTGGGAGTAACTTTAGGACACTGAAACTTGTCAAATTGAAATTACAAATAGTTGTTTTTGTGACAGTTTACTGTTTTACATGCATCTCCTGTTTATGTCACGACTGACCCAATGTGCAAGTTTGCTAATCTAAGACCTCTTTCTATCGCCTTTGTCTACTTTTTGAAAAAAAAATTCAATTTTAATTTAATTTAAAGGAATATACTTATGTGTGAATTAAATGTAATGTTTTCGGGAAAAATATTTTTTTTAATTTAAATTTTAATTACTTTTTATTTAATTTTTAAAGGGGTCATATGATGTTACTGAAAAGAACATTATTTTGTGTATTTGGTGTAATGAAATGTGTTTATGTGGTTTAAGGTAAAAAAAACATTATTTTCCACATACTGTACATTATTGTTTCTCCTCTATGCCCCGCCTTTCTGAAACGCATCGATTTTTACAAAGCTCATCGGTCTGAAAAGCGAGGTGTGCTCTGATTGGCCAGCTATCCAGTGCATTGTGATTGGCCGAATATCTCAAGCGTGTGATGGAAATGTTACGCCCCTTACCATACTGTGATGCCCTGTCCCGGAGCGACAAGACAAAAACATTAAAACCCATTATAAACAAGGCATTTGTTGCATCCAGTGGGGACATAATTATGGATTATAATGTTTTATTACGCATTGCATTGCATTGTGCCGCGCCGCGTAAACATAAAACCATGTCTGCATTTGTGATCGGAGAAATGACAAACAACAAG